CCTAGTTCTCTGAGGGGCTTTGTGGGACAGGCCCATAACAACTAAGATTAGTGTTACTTTAAATTTAACATCAAAGGTGGAGCTATTTTTCCTCTAGGAAAATGTGTAACCATAACCCACACACACCACACAGATACATGCATGCAAGCATGCTCGCACACACTTGTACCACAGATACACATAAATCACACATAGATACAGCATATATACACCTACTATATACACACACACCACATACATACACAAACACAGCTGCCTCCACGTAGACACGCCACACACACACTGGAGCCTGGCTCTGGGTCCCGACTACACCAGGTTGTGCTTTTATTCATCCCCACGTCCGTCCTCGGGAGTGAGGGTTCCCTTGACCAGATGGAAGGTGAGCCTGTGGGTTTAGTGCTTTGCTGACTAGAAGACACCAGTCCAGCACACATGCCTAGGGTCGGGGGAGCAGACGTATATATCATGGGGAGCGGCCGTCTGGCGATCTGGCTTTCTTTGGATGCGATTGGTGCTGAAGGCCCAGCTGCTCTGTCCACCCTGAGGCTCTTAAGACATTAAGGAGAACCCTCCCTGGAGAACCACAGTGAGCACCACCTCCTTCCCACTGGTGGTTCTGGAAGAGTCCCTGATGGATGGAGCGGGCCCCGGCCACCCCTGGTTCAGAGCTGCTGCCCTTGAGCGGTCACCTGGGCCCGGTCTGTCCCATCCTGATGTCCCCTGGGGGGCGGCAGCCCGGCCCCTCGTCCCGCAGGGCAGTGGTCTGAGCGGCGTGGTCGTCGTGGTTTGCTGCGGCCCCTCTGACTGTGATGTTGGGCGTGCTCTGTGTTCCGTTGTCGTCTCATCGTATTTCTTCCTCTCTCCGACTCCTGTCACTGTGTTCTCGCAGCTGTGTGACACGGGGGACGCGGTTGTGGACACGTGAGGGGGATTGCAGGGTAAGCGGTCCCGGCCTCACCTCTCCCACCCGCAGCCAGGCCGCACCCCGCGCTCTGCATGCACCCCGACCTGCACGGCAGCCTCCCGCGGCCTGGGGGCTCACCGGCCGCCTCCTTGCTTTTCACAGGAGGAGAAAGAGGCTGTGCTCAGCTTCTCCCTCACTGTCCCCCTCCAGGGTCACCCAGCCCCAGCTGCTTCCCACACAAGCTTAGAATGGAGAGGTGACAGCCCCCTCCCTACTCCCAGGCCTGTTTCATTGGATGGCCTGCTGGCTGACGACATATGCCCAGTGTTGGGGGAGGCACGAGTACCCAGGGTTTAGGGGAGGGCTCCCCGGGGAGAGGACCCGCCCGGTCCTCTGGGATGGTCAGCAGGTTCTAAAGAACCCCTATAATGTCCGTTCTAGAATGCACTCCGAGCTCATGTTGTCCCAGGTATCCAGCTAGCCAGGGCCTTTCTGTCCAATTCAATGAAATACTCTGGGAGCCCTCCTAGCAGTTTCTGCCAGGCCTCCTGCTCCTGTAAAGGGTCAGAAGCTCGTAAGGAAAGTGGAGGTAAGAACAGGCAGGAAGCAGGTGTTGGGGCCTGAGTCAGATGGGACAGCCAGAGTGAAGCAAGGGGTCCCCTCCACCCCCCGGGAAAGCTGCACATTCTGGACAGGAGCGGCTTTGTGGTGTCCACCGCCCACACGGGCCCCCTGACAGGCCTCCTAGGGCCTCTGTCCCAAGGATGGGCCTCTCTTTTCTCGGCTGTCCGCAGGGTGTTCTCTCCCACCGCCTCCCGGCTGCCTGAGTTACCCTCCTGCTCAGTGTGGTCTAAGGAGCAGCCAACAGCCAAGGTGGCCGCCGGGCGGCTCTCCTCCGGCTGTGCATCCTTTACCCGCTTCACCTGCGGGCACCTTCCCACCTGTGTCACCACAGTGACTGCCAGGCCCAGGCGGGGTCGGAAGGCGCCCAAGGTCACTCCGCCTGGGGACAGAGGCGGGGCTTCGAGTCCAAGCCGCAGGGTGTGCCACACCTTGCAAGGCAGGCCAGCAGCAGGAGGAGCGCTGCACCCCCCGTCTCTGCTCGGTCAGGCAAGGGGCTGTTTTGCGGGCGGTGGGGGGGGTGGCACGGGCAGGGGAGAGGAGGACCTTGGTCCCAGAGTTTCCATGTTTGTGTGTCTTTGAAGACGGTGTCCACGTGTCTGTCCACTTGCCGTGGTCTTCCTCGGATGGAATGGTTGACAAAAACGGGAAGCCCCACCCCGGCCTGCTCCCCGGTGGTGTGGGTCCTCAGTGCCCCCCCTCAACCTCAGGGGACAGCAAGGCTGAGCGGAGGCCAGAGCTCAGCAGGCCCGGAGGGAGTGGCAGGTCCCCTTAGCCCTGCGGCCCCGGGAGTCAGGCGCCTGCCGTCCGACGCCTGGGCTGCCTGCTGAGGTCTGGACAGACACTGCGCGTGTTGCCTTGGGGACCAGCCCTCCTCCTGGTCCTTTTCCAGGAAGTGACCTCTCAGTGTACAAGCAGAGGCCTAACTGGAGGCGAGCGGGTTGGGGGTGGGGGTGGCGGTGCCCACAGGGAGCAGCTTGCCCCTACTCCCGGGGTCCTGAGGGAGACCCTCGCCCCACGTCCGCCAGCTCCTCAGGCATACACGTGTGGTCTCGAGTTGGGCCACTGTGTCAGGACCCCCTGTCCTTCCACGCACTTGGGAGGCAGCTGTGTCCCCAGCCTGTGACCCAATCCCTGCAAACACCAGGGAACTAAACGCAGGCCTGACATCCCCAATCCGGTATCAGCTGGTCCAGCCAAGGGGCATCCTCTATATGCAGAGTCTGGTTCCAGGGGGTAAGGATCCTGTGGGCCCGAACCACAGGTAGGAATCTGGATGTCTGGGCCCACGGGCGGAGCGGGGCCCTCGAGAGGCTGTTTCAGGGGACCCCCCGCATCAGCTGGCCCCAGCACTTCCGTGACACCCCAGGCCCCCGCCTCTCAGCCCGGCCCCCGCCCCTGCCGCCTTGCAGATCTGGTCCACTTCGACGTGCCCTCCATCCACGTGGAGCTGGGGTCGGCGCTGCGCCTCGGGCCCCTGGAGCACGTGCGGCGACACTCGGTGGCTGAGAAGAGAGACTCGGAGGAGGAGTCGGAGAGCACGGCCCTGTGAGGAGCTCCGCGCGCGCGTGCGCACGTGGCCCATGCCGTCGCAGCGCCGCCAGGCGGGACTCCTGCGGATGGCCGTGTGGCAGGTTCCTGTGGTGCGGACTTGTTTCGTCCCCTCCGGGTGGTGAAGCTGGCCTTTTGTTTGATCTTTGCCTTTTGACTTCGTGCCTACTTTGATCCACTTCCAGCCTCCACGCCAGGTGACTGCCCTCCCCACCCGAGGGCTTGTCGGAAACGTCCCCTGCAGCGTGGGTGTGCACGGCGTGGTGGTGGTCAGCCTGGGGCTGCCTGTCACCCATGCCGACGGCCTCCGTGAGTTCTGCGAGGTCCGCCTGATGGTGCAGAGCGGGGAGGGGAAGGGACGGGGGGGCGGGGGGTCTTGCTCTCAGGAGCCTGGAAGCCTGGGGCCCTGGCCGGCCTTCCTCTTCACAGCGAGGGGCCGGCCGGGGCGGACCTTCCTCCATGGGCTCTGATGGAAATGGCTGAAGATGAAATCTAACAGTTTTACTCTTCCACACTGTGGAATGAAGCTCCCTTTATTATCTTATGGTTTTCTATTTCTGAATTTTAAAAACGATCTTGAGTGTGTCCGGGGGCCCCAAATGTAGCTCCCCAGGCACCCCCCCCAAAACTTGAGATGTGTCTCAGTAATTGCAGCGCTCCAGGGCCCCCAGCTCAGTAAGAAATGGGGTCCTTTTCTGGAGGTCAGAAGTGAAGAGCAATAATCCTGTCACCCAAAGCCCAGAGGGGAAGGGGGCATGGCCCGTGGAGCCCCCAGGCCCGCACCCCAAGCTGTGCGGTGTGCAGAGCTTGGCTCACCCTTCCGCAGAGACCCCAGCCACCCTGGGGGAGGAGACCCCGGGGGCTCTGGTCACACCTGGGACGAGGGGGAGAGAAGCAGGTTCTGGTCATGCATGCAGAGTCCAACCTTACAGTTTTATCCTTTTAAAATAGATATACCTAAACTGGATATAATATTTGTATATATGAAATCTATATTTGTTTAATTTGAGCCATTCAATCTAAACCCATGTACAGGTGTACAATGAGAGATTTAAATGCTTCGTTATTTTTCCCAACAAAGTGTAAAGTAACCCTCCTCCGACAGTGGGACTTGCTGATTTCTGACGTTCCCGGCTTTGCTCGCTTCCTGGCAGGGCAGCTCAGTACCCAATTTGTAATGGAGCCCGGGGGTTGACAATTACCTTTCAATACGTGTACAAATAGTTGTCAAAAGTAATGTTATTAAAATAGATTTATTATCCCTGAGCGTGGCCTATCTTCCTGTCTTAACAAGCTTGAGAGGACGCAGGAGGCGATGCCAGGGACCCCGAGGTCATGGTGAGTCCAGTCCTTGGTCTGTCTCAGCACCTGTGTCTCTTTAAATCTCCCCCCCTCCTCCTGGGTGGTAAGAACATGCGAATACTGGAGGCATCTGTGAAAATCCAGCCCCTTTTCAGACACTGACCTCAGTGCTGTCCAGCTCTAAGGGGAGGCCCGGCCGCCAGCCTCACGCGGTGTCGCTCCACACCCCGGTGAGTCTGTTTACACGGCAAGAACGGCTGCCAGTCTCTGTTCCTGGAACCACTGCACACCCACCCAGTGCCATCCACAGCTGACAGTCCACACGATTTGACTTTGGCTAAGACACCAGGCTGCAGAGGGGTGCTGGCTCCCCAGGGATGGATTCTGAAGGTCATTGCCAGGATCAAGCTGCTTCCGGGCGCCCTGGGCACCTGCAGTGCAGAACTGTGCCCCAAGACCCTGCTTGGCCACAGCAGGGGGACAGCACTCAGGGTCCAGATGCCACCTTCACAGTGTCTCGTCCTTGAAGACGCCGTTCCTGAGGCTGCGTCCCCAGCCCAGCGCTCGTGCACGAGACTGATGGACACTGTGGCCTCCCTCCACGTGCTCCCCGGCCCTGCGTCTACTGGGCCCTGGCCTTCTTGCTCTGCGGGCTGGGGGGCTGATCTGTGGGGGCACGTTTCTGCGGTGGCTCCACGTCCTCCCCTGTGAGCAGGGCCGCCCGCACCTGCCGCAGCTCCCGGCGCTCCCGGCGCCCCTCCATCTCCTCCAGGTCCTCGGCGAACAGGGCCTTCAGCGGCGCCGTCAGCCGGGGCACTGTCGGGAGGTCCCCCAGGCTGACCTACAAGGCAAGACAAGGCTGTCAGGGCTCACAGACACCACCCACCCTCACAGGCAGACTCTGCTGGAAGACGGGCCGGCTGTGGGGAGAGGAAGCCAGGCTCCCAAGGCCCAGCTTTACTGCTGGGAGAACGCCGTCCCCCGGGCCCGCGTGGAGGGCGGCTCACGTGTCATCACTCTGGGGACCAGCTGGGCCTCCACGGGGCCCTCGGGGGCCTGTGCCCCGAGGCTGTGCCGGCCATGGTGGGCAGCAGGCCGAGCCTAGTCATCCACATGGATGGAGGCGTCTCTCCCCGCTCCGCCCCGCCCAAGGGGTCCCCGCACCTTCATGTGGTCGAAGGCGATGCCCACTTTCTCGTTGAAGTCAGGGCTGAAGAGTGGGATCTTGGCATAGCGCTGGCTGAAGTGGGTCAGCATGATGAAGGCCGCGCTCATCCGCATGCCCACGCCGATGGCCTGGGAGGTGGTGCTGCACACACAGGGTGACGGGAGGCTGGAGGAGCGGGCCGGGCAGAACCCGGCCCAGACCTGGCCCGCCTGGGCACCTGGGGGCCACAGGCCGATACAAAGCCACCACAGAGCCCGTCTCCCCCCAGACCCCCAGTGCAGCCCAGGCTCTGCGTTGTGGGACTGCCCACCAGTGAGGCCTCGGGGGACAGCGGCCTCCCACTGGGGGCGACACCCCTCCCTGAGATCGCCCATGACCCTGCCCCAGCCCCCCTTCCTGGGCTTCAGCGTATTTCCAGTTCCTTCCTGAGCCACACCTCCTCCAGAGCCTTGCTTTAGAGGTGCCACAGAAATAAAAGTGGAGGCTCGGGAGACAGCCGCTCGGGGTCAGAAGCCCCCACGGCCCTCGGTGGGAAGCAGGCTGGCCCAGGATCACCTGGGGAGCCAGAGGGACCGGGCGCTCTGTACCTGTGTGTTTTCTCCACAGCTTCCTCTTCCAGACCGTCTTCCAAGGTGGCCTCATGGATCAGGAGGGTAGCATCCTTCCCTGAAGCAGCAGCACAGATGCTGAGAATAAGCTCTCTGCCTGGGGGCCACAGGGGTCTGGGGGCCGGCCCGCACGGCACATGCCCCTACTCACCCATCTGGACCAGAGCCTCGCAAGGCATGGTGTCCCCCGAGTAGACCACCTTCCAGCCGGACATGTGGACCAGCGCACAGCCGAAGGCGTGCTTGCAGTGTCGGACCAGGCAGGTCTGGAACTGGAGGAGGGGCGGTGGGCTCGCGGCCAGCCACACGCATCCGTGGCCCCTGCCTGCCTGCCCGCGCCCAGGCCTCCCCCTACCTCCTCCAGGCCACAGGTTTCCAGCAGCAAATTTATCAACCTTTCCACCTCGGGGCTGGAGACCTCAGCTCCCTTCTGAAGGCATTTGGCAGGGATAACACTGTGAGAAGATAAAACATTTGAGAAAAAGAGACATTTAATTTGATGTTCAAGCCACTGACTACAGAGCCCCACTATTACAAAAAACAACTCGGTGTTCTCACTGAGGAAGCAGGGTGCTAGGCCTGGAAACGGTTTCATGGAGAAGTGTTGACAGAGATCTGGACTCGGGATTGGAAGCAAAGGAGGCCGGGAGAAACTGAAAGCAAAGGGCCTTTATAAGGGGAGCACCCACCTGACGTGGTGCAGCAGTGGCTGGCACTGGTTATGGTACTGCTGGAGCCAGGTCCGGAGCTGGGTGGGGGCGACCACGAGCAGGGGATGGCAGGGTCTGCCCAGCGATGCCTGCAGCGGGGAGAGCAGAGTGCCACCAGCACGGCGGACGTTTCAGTGGAAATGGTGTGGAGTGGGAGGAGGGGTGTGTGTGTGTGTATATCATCCCTGGAAACACGGGAGCAGTGCAGTCCCGTGGACTCACCAGAGCACGCTCTCTCTGCAGAAGGATGTTCAACAAGCCCTGGGAAGAGGAGGGGACACGATCAGCCTCATGCAGACCTGACCTCCCTCCTGAGTTGGGGCCCTGGGGCCCCAGCTTGCAGTCCCTGGTCTCCATCAACCACCCCCTTCTGATGCCCACCACCCGGCTGCCGCCTGCCTCCGGCTACAGGTTGCTCCGAGCAGCTGCCCGGCCAGGGGAGACCCTGTGGCCTTGAGATTAGGCCACCAGGTTTCCCTAAGACACCACGCCAGGTGGGAGGCACGGGGCCCGAGGAGGGAGCCCACTCACCGTGTGGTGGTCGGCGTGCAGGTGGGACACGAACACAGCAGCCAGAGAGCCCAGGACCCGGTCCACGCCGTCCCCATAGTGGCGGCATAGCTGCCCGAAGGTGCCCTCCCCGCAGTCCAGCAGCAGGGACGTGTCGGGGCTGTGGGGGGCCAGGCGGGGGTCACTCAGGGAGGAGGGCAGGGCGGCGCCTCAGCCCCACCCGGGGGGCTGCCCTCAAGGTGAAGGTGGCCTCACATCTCTCCTCCTCATATCAGAGCACGTCCCGACGCCCCGGGACACACACGAGCGTCCCCGGAGTCGCACAGACGCTGGGCACCCGAGGGAGGGTCTGTGTGGGAAGCGGAGCCTGGGGGTGGGTACACCAACGATGCGGTGGGGGTGGTTAGTGACTAGTTCACAGGAGGAGCTGAGAGCCCGCTGAGACCGTGTCTCAGCCAGGTGACCAGGTGACCAGGTGATGGCTCACAGCGCAGCACCTGCTTCATCCAAAGATGCACTGGGCGTCCAACTGCGCGGACCCCCCACGTCCAAGTCAGCTACCCAGACTACCTATCACCTTACTGCCCGACCCCTCCCCAAGCACTCCAGCCAAGACCGGCCTCCAGGGATGAGAGGCTGCACCTTCTGATTCACCGGGGAGTGGGGCGGGGTACCCCTGCGGGCGGCGCCTCCCTTCAAGGGCTCCTACCTGATATTGACGAGCGTGGAGCTCACGTTCCGGATCTTCATTGGGATCGCGGACCCTGTTCCCAGGAAGACCACTTCTGGGTACTGGCTGCAAGTCTCTATGGAAAAACACATCGTGAGCCAGCCAACTTATCTGGGGTTAAGTCCAGATACCCAGGAGGGGCTGGGGTCAGACCAGAAGGGGCAGAAAGCAGAGCAATTACACAGGCCCAAGTCTGGTGGTGAAAGTAGCTCAGTCCGTGGAATTCTCCACGCCAGAATACTTGACTGGGTGGCCTTTCCCTTCTCCAGGGGATCTTGCCAACCCAGGGATCAAATCCAGGCCTCCCATATTGCAGGCAGATTCTTAACCAGCTGAGCCACAAGGGAAACCCAAGAATGCTGGAGTGGGTGGCCTATCCCTTCTCCACCGGGTCTTCCCGACCCAGGAATCTAACCAGGGCCTCCAGCATTGCAGGCGGATTCTTTACCAACCGAGCTACCAGGGAAGCCCCCAAGTCTCCTACTAGATGATATAACAGGGGGCCCCTTTTTGGTGCTGTGAATCAGCACAGACCTCAGGGCTGAGCCCACCTGGCAGAGGTCCTGCCCTGCTGGGAGGAGCTTGGGAGGTTCACGCTCTGGCAGGACCAGCCTTCTGGATTCTGAAGCCTGAGGCCACGCAAGGCCTTGCCCAGCCAGAGAGGCCCCGTGTGCACGTGTGCGAGCGATGATAATAATGGAGCTTTATTGTGCAAATCAGAAACCTATCCCGGCAAGCGCAGCCAGGGAGGCATATTCCTGAAACTCCAGCCTGGTGCTGACTGACTTGAACCTGACTCCGCCGTCTAGTCCAGCCTCCTTTTTCCACTTCAATTGTGAGCTTAGACCACTGCCACTGGGGAAACCAACTACTGCAGAGAGGCCACAGAGTTCCCCAAACTGTCTTCCCACTGGGGCAGGGGAAGCCTGAGACGGTGAGTGATGGGGCCAGAGTCCTCCCGTGGACCCTTAAAGCAATGCTGGGACCAGACCCCAGGTTCTGCCCAGAGCCTCACCCAAGGTCCCAGGACCCTCCAACTCGGCTTGCGTGGGCCTCATCACCTAACCGCCAAGCGGATGGGCTAGGTGGGGCAGGCACTGGTGGGAAACAGACCAGAAGGTCCCGGGGTGAGACGCAAGCCCAGGAGGGGCTGGTCCCTGGTCTGCCTCACCCTCTGGGCCATCCTGGGCCGTCTTCCTATACTCCTGCACGCTCTCCTGGAAGTTGGGGAGCTCCAGAGCCTCGGCGATGAACTCCTCGGGGTCACAGGTCAGGACGGCATCCCTGCAAGGAGGTGGAATCAGGGGATGGAAGGGTGCGGTGGCCATGAGTGAGACCTGAAGTCAGCATTGACCCTGGGGACTGTCTGCAAGTGCTTCCACCTCTTGGTGACGGCGTGGCAGACCCTCCCCAGCCCAGCGGGTCTCACACCTCTGGTCCTCAGAACCTCGCAGCTCAAAGCGGGCCGGGCTGGCCCTGGCAGCACTGATCCACGGGGCAGGGGCCTCCCTGACCTCTACTCACTAGACTCCAGTCGTGCCGGGCATCCCCCTGGGGGAGGGGGAGGAGGGCTCTTAAAGGGCCCCAACTATTCACCACAATGGTGCCCAGGGTCCAGCTACCTTTCCAAACGCAGTCCACTTGGACCACACTGGTGTGCACAGGACACTTCAAATTTTTAAAAACTGGAGACAGACAGCAGTGAGCACCTCTCCGTGACTGGCTGCAGGGTAAGCTGGGTTCACCAGGTGCTTCAGGCAGGGCCAGCCTCTGACCCAGTACCCCCCACCCCGCTTAAGCGTTTTCCAAGGAAACCCTGTTCCACCCAAGGATTTGTATGGAAGGCACTTGTTTTGTTAACATAGCAGGAGAACTGCAGTGCCTCCAATGAACAAGCACCCTCACTTGGAAACCTGGCGACAACCTTGTCCTAAAGACTCTTATCATGACCTGGGAAAAGCCCGATAGTGTATCAGGCCCTAAACCCTCATCTTAACATGCCCCCACACACCTGGTCAGAAATCACAAACTGGTAACAGGCAGTGTTTCAGGGTGATGGGATGGCAAGTGACTGACTTTCTGCTCGGAGGCAGAGGCCACGTGGCTGCAGACCTGAGACACTAACCGCCCCCGCACCCTGAGACCACACTGACCTCTGCCACTCCCGCCGGGGCCGGAGCTGGTACTTAAGGAGACACTGGCCTCGGACCGTGGGCACACCCTGGGCAGCACTGCCTTCCTGCAAGAGACGAGCTGTGACCCATGGGGGTGGGGGGCAACAGGGACAGAGGTGAGCCATGACCTGGGGGCGGGGGCACGAGTGGAGGGCGGGGGGCTACCTGAGGGCAGGGGCCGGCGAGTGGAGGTGGGTTGGGATGATACCTGAAGGTGGGGACCAGTGAGTGGAGGGCAGGGGGGGCTAACCAAGGGCGGGGGCCGGCAAGTGGAGGTGGGGGCTACCTGAGGGCGGGGGCCAGCGAGCGGGGGGAAGATGCCGGGGTGGATGAGGCCAAGCTGGGTCTGGATTTTGTGGCTGCGCAGGTTGTGGACTGACTCGCAGTTCTCGTTCAGAACCAGGTGCTCGGTGTTGGGCCCGAACCTAAGATGGATGGACACACGGTCATCATGGTGTCTTTCTGGGGGCACTCCTGCCCACGCAGTGGTCATTTACTGGGAGTGCTCAAGAGGGCAAGCGACCTGTCCAGAGGTCACCCCAAGTGGCCAGAAACAGCCCAGGTCCTCCTCAGAGCCCAGTTCAAGGCCTGTGGGAAACCAGGAACAGTTCCAGGGCTGGGGACTCGGGAACACGAGGGAGCATTGGGGGTGAGGGAAGGAAAGGAAGATGGTGATGGATGCCAACACCTTAGACCCCGAGGTGCAGGGGACCAGGGGCGCCAGCAGGAGAGAAGTCACCACGCGCCCAGTCCAACCCCAGCCACCCGGCCCTGAGGTGGGCGGTGGAAGAGCAGGAAGGTGCCCGATGTGGATAAAGCTTCTAAAGCGAGGTTGCTACTTTATCCTCCATGTCTCTTATTTCAGAAACACACACGTGATCAAGACAAGCAGGGTTTGTCCCGAGGTGAGGGTGTGGATGTGCAGGCAGGAAGCCAGCCCCAGGCCAGTGGACGTGTGCCCGCAGCGCCCCCTCACGGGGACAGTCTTCAGGGCACAGATGCCCCCAGCCTCCAGGGAGGGCAGCAACCCAGGGGCCCTCATACCTCTCCATCCACTGCTGGTATCTGCTGTCCAGGAGCACGTGCTCCGGGGCCATGTGGACCACCAGGGCCACGGGGGCATTGGCCTTCCCTTGGTAACTGGGAGGAAGCAAGTGGGGGTTCTGCTGGGGCCAGGGAGGCACAGAGTGCAGACCTCAAACGGGGCGGCGGGAGCCCGGCCCGGCTCTCCTGAGCAATGTCGGTTCTCACCTCCCGCCTGGAGGGCCCTCCTCACCTCCTGAAGGCGGTGTTCTCACACAGCGGCTGGATGAACCCTTCGTCTGGACATTCTACCACAATGAAGGCGATCCCGGGGTCCGGAGGGGTGCAGATCTCTTCAGGCAGAATCTGTCAAGTCCCCGGGGTCACCATGTGCTCCCAGGGCAGCCCCCTCGGGGAGCGCCCACACCTCCGGCCCTCTCTCCACTGACACCAGACGGGGCCCGCTGGCCCAAGAGGGCATTTCACACTCGGCTCTCGGCGGAGTCTCGTCCTCTCATTCTCCCACCTTGGGGAGGATGTCACTCCTTGGGGCCACACCCCTGAAGTCCACCCTGAAGGGGTCTCCCCTGAACCCAGGGACAGGGACAGCCCCCATCCTATGAGGACCCCCACATCCTAAAGGGAAACCCCCAGAAACGCCCCCATGTGGCCAGCACTGACGTGGGGGGCAAGCCTAGGCAAGCTCGGCTCAGTGATGAAACCCAAGCTACTCACTCCCCTGCAAGTGGGGCCAAACCAGACAGCGACTGTCCAGCGTCCAGGCCCGGCTTGTGGCTGCCAGGACCGCACCCACCTCTCTCCCTTCGTAGGTGACACTCTTCCCGTCCTTGACGGCAGCAATGATGGGGGCAATGGCGGCTGTTCCGCTGAAATGACAGGCGAGGCCTCAGTGAGGACGGGGTTCCGGGGTCACCCTGTGCCCACTGAGCCCCCCCAAACGCCCCACCACTCACACTGGGAGACCCAGCTCCTTCGCTTTGAGCACCAAGAAGTTTCCCTTCTTCAGGTGGAGCTGCAAGGAAGAGGACACCATGTGAGGCCAGGGTCTGACGGAGAAGCTTGGCTTCCACCATAGTTTTGGAATCGGTTTAGCACAGGAAACCGAATGATTTAAAACTGAGCTGCCTACTTCCCCAACCCTGATAACTCCTTGTACATCTAATAAAACGCCGTCTATTGCATCCCAAGTAAGAAGCGTCCTCCAAAAACCTGGAGGAGAGACGCTCGTTCTATTATCCTGCGCTGGTCAAGCGACGGCCAACAGAGCGTCGCCAGAACAGAGTCCCACAGAAACAGTCACGGATCCAACGTGCGACGCGGTGCTCCAGGGACAGGGAGACTGGGTGGTTTCTCTCGTTGACTTTTCACATATGTGGCAAAACTGTGCTGCTGCTTTTATACCAGAGAGAAGTTACAATAAAAAAAGTCCCAGTGTTCTATTATTACGTTAAAATGGAAAAAAACCCTATCACAAAACCTCATAATCATCATTCTGTACTTAAAAACTCGCACAACTAGAGGGGCCTTGCTCACAACTAGAGGGGTCCTACTCAACAACTAGAAGGGTCCCCGCTCACAACTAGAGAGGCCCATGTAGCAGTGAAGACCCAACACTGCCAGAAATAAACAAACATAATTATGATTAAAAAAGAAAACCTCTTACCAAAGTGGGTATAGAGAGAACATATCTCCAGATAATAAAAGTTATTAATTGAGCTCAGAAGTAAATCCACACACCTACAGTCAACTGATCTTCAACAAAGGTGGCAAGAATATATTAACACAAGGGGGAAAAAGACTGTTTCTTCAGCAAGTGATGCTGGGAAATTTGGACAGATCCATGTAAGTCAGGAAGTTAGAACACTCCCTCACACCATATACAGAAATAAACTCAAAGTGGCTTAAAGACTTAAATATAAGACATGATACCATAAAACTACTACAAGAGAACACAGGCAAAACATTCTGACATAAATCATACCAATGTGTTCGTAGGTCAGTCTCCCAAAGTAACAGAAGTAAAAAGAAACAAATGGGACCTAATCAAACTCACAGCTTTAGCGGAGCAAAGGAAACCATAAACAAAATGAAAAGCCAACCTACACAATGGTAGAAATATTTGCAAATGGCGCAAATGAAAGGGTTTAATTTCCAAAATATACAAACAGCTCATAAACTCAACAACAACAACAAAAAAGCCACCTAACAAAACAATGGGCAGAAGACCAAAATAGACATTTCTCCAAACAAGATATACAGATAGCCCACAGGCATGCACATGAAAATGCTCAACATTGCTAACTATTAGGGAAATGCAAAGCAAACCTCCAATGAAGTGCCACCTCACACCAATCAGAATAGTCATCATTAAAAAGTCTATAAAACAATAACTGCTGGAGAGGATGTGGAGAAAAGAGAACCCTCCTACACTGTTGGTGAAAATCTAAGTTGGTGCAGCCACCGTGGAAAACAGTATTAAAAAGGTTCCTCAGAAAAGTAAAAACAAAATTACCATACAACCTAGCAATCCCATTCCTGGGTGTATATCAGGAGAAAAACATAATTTAAAAAGATATATGCACCCCTATGTGCATTGCAATACTGTTTACAACAGCCAGGACATAGAAGCAACCCAAACATCCACTGATGGAGGAATGGATAAAAAAGATGTGGTATATAAATATATATATGTATACATATAATAGAATATTACACAGCCATAAAAAATGAAATGCCATTTGCAGCAACACAGATGGACCTACAGATTATCATATTATATAAAGTCAGAGAAAGACAAATACCATATGCTATCGCTTATACGTCCAATCTAAAACAGGATACCAATGAACCTAAGAAAAAGACTGGTCACCAAGCGGGAAGCCCTGGGTGGGGGAAGGTAGGGGAGGATTGGGAGCCTGGGATTACCAAATGCAAACTATTACATATGGAATGGATATAAGGTCCTACCGTATAGCACAAGAAAATATCCTGTGATAGACCATAATTGAAAAGAATATTTTTAAAAAGAGTATACATACACACGTGTATAACTGAATCACTTTGCTGATTAGCAATAATTAACACTGTAAATCAACTCTATTTCCACTGACTTCAGAAACTTAACCTTTCTTAACTATTTCTGAAGTTCAAGAGTGAGGCTCACGGCCAACTATGAAACCTGTCTCTGAAGACTGACTCTGGCTGGAAGACAATCTGGACACACACAACGAGCACAGCGGTTTACTGGGAACCAGGGTGTGTTTTCTCTGATCACAGAGAAAGCTGCTGCCTTCCGATCACCAAAAACCCTGAGGTCACCAGACGCATGCTCACCTTGCAGACGAAAGCAACCACCAAGGAGGTGTCCCTGCCACGTGCTTTCTGGCCAACACCTGAGAAGAGACAGTCCAAGCATGACAAGGTGGATGGCAAGTCTTGCAGGTGTCACAGGTCAGCGGTCATCTGACACCTAACCTGGCGTCACACAAATGTAAACGGAAGGAACTTTGGATACAAACACACACTTGTTTTGCCCTCAAGCAGAACTTTCTTTTTTTTCTAACTCGTAGTGAGATTCGAGGAAACAAAAATGCAAAAACTCAAACCAGAGAAGACCAAGTGAAGTGTTTTAAAATGTTTTGTTTTACCAAGAAGTGGAGATGAGAGAAAAAAAAAAAGCTGTAATGTGGTTTATCAATAACTCTGTGAGAAATAACATAAAAGCTGAAAGGCCTGCAAAAATGACGTGGGTGTTAGTCCTCACTCATGCCATCCAAGGAGGACAGTTCACAGGGCTGGGGCCCCTCGGTCCTCAGAGAGACGTGGCCTCAGGGCAGAGGCGGGAACTTATCAAGCTTGCCCATCCCTGGACCACCTCAAGCAGCCCGATTCCCTGGTAGGTCTCATCCTGGAATTCTGATCCCGTTTCCCAGTGGGTTGTCATTCTGGAAAAGGAGGCCCAAAGACAGTCTTTGACCGCTTTGTTGGCCTGGCTGTTAGGTCCTGCAGTCACAAAAATCAACTGGCATTACTGCTGCCTCCATGAGACACAAATAGTTCACCGAGCCTTCTCCATCTGCTGACACCAACAGGGTCAGAGCAGTGTTCTGGTGTGTGCGGTTTTGCAAACACGACAGGTGCACACACAAATTCTGACTTGCTACATGTGAAATGGGAATTCAAAAAACTCCAAAGACTCGGTAATGAACTGTAAAGACTTAATTAATGATCTGTACCGTATAATGAAATAAACAACATAATTTTGTACCAGAAAATGGGAAACACACAAGCCTCAGTAGGAATCATTTGCCAGGCCCTGCTCTCCCTGGGTAACCTGGACCCGAAGCTGGGGCCCTCACCCCTGGCTGCACACTGGCCCTTAAGCCTCCACGCGGCCACCTTTACAACAGCCTTCTCAGCTGCCCACAGGTGTCCTAACATGACAAGGAAAAAGTGTCTGTTCTGCACAGAGCTTCCTTAGAACAAAAACTTGAATGACAAGCAGAAGCAGGCAAGGGACTAAAACAGACCCCACGTCCACCCCAGCCCCCTCGACAGCACACTGCTGACCGAGCACCATTACCGTTCGGGCGCCGCTCCCCATCAGCTGGTTCTGCGTGTGGAGGCGGCTGTGGACTCAGCCGCTCTGGACTCTGTGCGGGCGACTGCTGACCACTTGTCTGCTCGCCTGGTCAGTAGGGGAAATGAGCAGAGGACACAGCCCTCGGGCGAGCTCACAGCCAGTTGCAACTCACAGTGAGTTGCCCACCTCACTGGCCTGTCCTCCACTGGCCACCAGTAGTTTCTACCAACCCCCGCCTTCCTCAACTAGGACCCACCTCCTCCCGCTCCAAGAAAACATGGCTTTCTTAATTTTTGCCTGTGCAGCTCAGCTTGCAGGATCTTAGTTCCCTGACCAGGGATCGAACCTGGGCCCCTGCAGTGAAAGCACGAAGCCCTAACCACTGGACCGCCAGGGGTCCCCGCCATGTGGCTTCGTACTCACAGTGGATGGGGATCTGGAACACTGTCATGGTCTCGTCCTTGTATTCTGGCGCCGAGTGGGGCCGCACAGCTGTGGGGAAAAGACCGCGGGACAGTGACCGGGGCAGCAACCACGGGCACGAGAATCACCTTCAGATCACCACCCACGAGCAAGGGGAGCGCTCTGGAATTTTGCAGAAATCTGCATTAAACCGAGAATTTCTAAGTAAATGAAAATATTCAGGGAAGCAGCAAAAATACATCTTCAGCTCTTAACGTTTAGCACAGCCATGTGAGAAGACGTACGAGGATCACTGGTGATGAACCGCCAAAAGAAAATGAAGCCGTTGGTTAAGTGTAAGAGACACAGGCTGACACTCAGCACTGCCAAGCCAGGGAACCTATGCTCTCAACTCTGAGAGCCAAGACATGTTCTGAAATAAAACACCAGCGTCCGTCTACAGAAGAACCAACCGGAGATGCCCCTGGCCCGGCCGGTACCTCGCCCAGGCCTCTTCCCATCAACCGGCCATGTGCTCCGAGAAAAACTGCTCCCAGCCCCTCTCTCTGTGAGGGATCCAAGGCCACTCAACGGTGAGACCCACCTACAGGGCCAGGAAGGAGCCTCAGGGCCTCAAGGGAGACCCCACCACCCTGCACACACCCCATACCTGGCAGCTTTTGACTCACTCCTACCTTCCCGCCCGTGTTTAAGGGGATGAGGTGGGAGCAGAGAAAGTGCAATCGGCAACAGGTTCAAAATTCATCTCACATGGATGAAGCATTTGATTTTTAAGGTTTACTTTGGTCAGCTTTTATGGATTCTGATTTGAGAGAAGGGGGCATATGAGTAGTAATCAAGGACTTACCCAGGTCTATTCCTTTCAGTGGACCAGAAAATATTTTGATAGCTTCCAGGTACTTCTCCTAAGAAAGAAAAACAAGGAGGACGAAACACATGTTCAAGCATCAATTCATGAGAGGTGCTGGAGGCAGCAACGTAAGACACACTTCAAAGAGTACTTCCAACTTCCTGACTGAGTGTCCACCACAGGTTAGATGCCTGGGGGTCAGCAATGAGAAGATGGGGTACCTGTGCTCACAGAACTTAGAAACCAGGGGAGGAGAGAAATCATACAAATGACAACAAGCCGCCATGGGGCTGAGCATCCTGCACACATGAAACACAGGAGACCGGGATCCAGCCAGTCTGCAGAGTCACTGGCGGGGGGCGGGGGCATCTCAAGGTGAAGCCCTGGAGCTGAGCCCTGAAGTTTGGGAGGACACAGGAGGGAGAAAGTTATCTTGGCCTGAGACAGGCAGGGGCTTTGTGAAGAGCTCAGAGCTGGCCCCGCAGCCTCGCCGTGTGGCCGGGCATAGATGCAGGGCAGGTGAGGGCCAGGGCCAGCAGGACCTGGGGGCCACGTGACGATGTCTGGACTATGTTTACAGAGACCTGATTGAAGGGTTTTAGGACGAGGTGACCTGCCTTCCGTTCCACTTGAGAGGGACCCCTGTGGCCGCGTTGCTGGACAGTCACGGGGGTGGAGGAATGGACATGGGAAGTGATGGCAGGAGACCATGGTGGGACAGAGCTAATGAGGAGGACGCAGACGGACGGCTGAGAGGCATTATTCTGGAGACAGATGTCACAGGCAGGGCTGGTGTCTGGCTGCCTTCTACCTTAGGACCTGGGAAGTGAAGTGAACCTTTACACCAATAATGTGTTTATAACCTCTCAACAGTGTTGTAAAGCTGGCTTGGAAGGTACAACAGAGATGTCTGAAATTTAATAAATAAGAATAAAAGTTGTTCATGTTGAGGTCTGACAGAAAACAACAAAACTCTGTAAAGCAATTATCCTTCAATTAAAAAAATAAATAAATTCTAAACAAAAAAAGAATAAAAGCGGACATCTATCCTGTGTCCACGTGGTGTGAAACTAAGTGACCAAGTGCCCTGTGTTACCTCATTTAATTCGTAACCCCTGCAACCCTTTCACAGACACAGTCACGGAGGGTCCAGGAGGGACTGCAACCTGAGCCCAGTCAGAGTCAACAAGGCTTGGACTCGGGTTATCTTTAGCTTGAAACGCAAAGTGTTTCCACTGCTATGAGTTTTCTCTGGAGGGCAGAGGGCCGATGTGAAAAACTGGAAATTCCTTTGGAAGTTAAAATGGAAGGCTCAGCTTTGAGACTCACCAGTTGTGGAGGTCCAGAAAGCACACACTTTGGAACTCCGGTTTCCTTTAAAGTGAGGATCATTCCTAAAAAAAAAATGAATAAACTCAGATCTCTCATAGCCCTGACTTGCAGTCACCGCCAGGAAGCACAGTCCTGACTTAACTGGCTGCTTTTTCTACTTGTTCTCACTCCAGAGTTAACAGGGGACACATGCAGGGCAGACTTGGTGCTGGCTAGAGGTTCAAGGGACGCTTACTCAGGACTTGACACTAGAATGAGGCACCTCGGGGGCAAAAATCCACTGAGGTAAAGGATGACACCAATTCTGCACCCTGGGCGCGTCCTCGCCTCATCTGAGTCTCAGTCCCGGGGGATGAGACAGGTCCAGCCTCTGCTCCTTCCTACCTGCTCCACAATGTTACAGAATGTGGCAGCAAAACAATCTCAATCTTTCTAACTGATGAGGAGAAACAAGGGGGTAATCGGGATATCGGGCTTTCCTGGTGGCTCAGTGGTAAAGAACCTGCCTGCCAACGATGGAGGCTTGGGTTTGATCCCTGCATGGGGATGATCCCCTGGGGAAGGAAATGGCAACCCACTCCACAGACAGAGAAGCCTGGTGGGCTATAACAGCCCATGGGGTCACAAAAGAGTCAGACACTTCTTAGTGACTAAACAGCAACAAATCTGGATACTGGGTCTCTGTGTGTAGCTGATGGTCCCAGTGGCAGACATAATGAGTTGGCCAAAAAGTCTGTTACGCAAAGACCCAAACCATCTTCTTGGCCAACCCAGTATTTACTGTGATCCGCATTTACTGTGACCACACACTCCAGTCGGTCCCGCACCTCCAGTCCAGCAACTCAATAAATGAGGTGGGTGGTTAACACCTAAAGGCAGCCTCCACATTAACACCTACTCTTCTGAGCCACACTTTTGGATGCTTCCTGCTGTAGCTGAAGGGGCAGGGATAAAAAGAATTCCAGCTCCCCTGGACTTCCGGAGATGGGCAAAAAAAATAGGGGGTGGGGGCAGGAGGCAGGTTAAAATCCCAGAGACCTCCCTCCAGCCTGACCTGGACAAGAACAGACTCACCGCACAACCCGCCAACATTAGACCAGTGCATTCGGGTCAGGAATATGTTGTCCAAACGGGACACCTTCAGCCTAAGAAAGAGAAAGCGCTGGAGCAGGACACAACACACTGGCAGGGGACCCTCTCTTCTGCTGACCCCCGTGTCAAAGCCGCACAGTCATCCCCGCCCCGCAGGAAGAGGGCTGGCTCACTTGTGCTCCTGCATGAGTCGCTGGACGCCTTCCCCGCAATTGAAGAGATACCTAGAAGACGAACATCGCACCAGAGAGTCAGTTTGTAAAGCTTCTACCACCGATCGGATGCTTTGCTGTACACCGTAGAGGGGGGAAAAAAAACCCTGAAAACCCATGTGGTGCTACCGGCCGAGTGTCTGCTGTTAGGACGCTGGGTTTTGAACCCTCCTAGGCAGACGCGGGGAGGGGGCTGGGGTGGGCCGGTGCTGGGGTCCTCTCCCATCACCTCCTCCACACTACTGCCCACTTCACACACGGACTAAGAGGCCCCGGCCATGGGGCACACACGAGAGGGCTCTGCCTAAAGATCAGGGGCGCCTCCCGGAGCCGCACGGACGGGGCAGTACGGGGTGCGGGCTCTCGCACCCACACTGACAACTGGGTGACCAAGCCTAGGGAGGAGGGGCTCGGCCAGGGGACACCCTCCCCCTCCCACCGGGCCCCGGCGTGGCGCACGGACCGGTTGAATTCGGAGAAGACGTAGAGGGCGGCGCCCGCATCCCGGCCGCCGGCTGCCACCACCTGCAGGTACACGGTGTTCGGGCCCCCGGGTCCCCATGACGGGCCGCGCTTCTCCCGCGTGCGCAGGTGCCGCAGCGGGTCCTTGGGCGGCCGCGGGCGGCGCGCCGGCCCCTGCGACATGGTGCGCCCGGCCGCGCACCGCAGCCCCAGCAGCGAGCGGAGCGCCCACATGCGCAGCCTCCTCTTCCCGGACCCGAGCGCAGCCGGCGGCCTCGGTCCGCATGCCCCGTGAGCACCGCCCCTTCACCCCCCGCGGGACGCCCCAGCTAATCAGCGCGCTGCCAGCCTAGCTTGCCCGCCTACGCGAGGCCGCACGTCCAATAGGGAGGGACCGCTCCGCCCTACCCTTGTCAATTGGCGATGGTCATAGAGAGGAAGAATGCTAGAGCGCCCTGAACGGCCCCGCCCCTGGTCTCTTTCTGGTTTCCCCTGGCCGTTCTTTCCGGAAATCTTCCTTCGTCTGGGCGGGGCTTCCGCGGGCGTGGGGCAGAACTTCCAGGGGCACAGGACCGGAAAAGGAGATGCGGGCGGAGGAGAGAGTCCTCGGAGTCGGCTTAGGCTCAGGCGCTGGTCAACGGTTGCCACCTGTTCTGAGCTGTTGCCTTAGACGAGTCAACTCCTTGTGGCGGTTGTTAGGATTAGATGTGAGGAGATAAGCTATATAGAGCTTTACCATAGGAGTTTTGCTAACTTTTACGTTGCAATTCGTATGAATACACGTTTCAGATGTGTTTTACTGGGTTTTGGAAAGAAAAGCGAGAATGGGAGTTAAGAGAACAATCTCTGGGATAGGAGAGTCTTTTATTAGTCGAGTGATCTTGACCTCTCAGCCCGTTTCCTTAACTGTAAAGTGGGGGTTGTCAGTTTTTACTTCGTAAGGTTTTATTTTTTAATATTTTTGTGTATTTATTTGGCTGTACCAAGTCTCAGCTGTAGCACGCAGGATCTTTAGCTACAACGTGTGTGATGTAATTCCCTGACCAGGGAATCAAACCTTGGCCCCTTGCATTGGGAGCATAGAGTCTTAGCCACTGGACCATGAGGAAGTCCCATACTTCATAAGGTGTTAGAATTAAATCACCTAATGGTATACTAACAGCTTTGAGTGGCACTGTCATGGACCAGGCACTCAGTGAATGGTGGTAAAAATTCGGAAGGAAATAAAGTGTTTCAACCGACATAAAATATTTTAAAAAACTTTTGGGGGTTAAAGAAATCGTTGCACAGGGACAGTCATGGGGTAGATGGCCCAATAGAGACCTTTTGAAAAGCTAAACAAGACCTAGCTCCCCTTTCAGAGCCCCTGAGAGATCTCAATTAAACCATTTGGAATACAAGGAACTTGCTTAAATGGAGATGACCCTTCCTTTACCTGGACATTCTAATCAAATATGAAACTGGTTCTGTGGAAGAATACCACACAACTGTGTAAAAACATTTTGTTCTTGAAGCAATCTTTGCTGAAAGGATCAGGAAAACTTCATTTCTGCCAGGGTCCAGCCCCAGTAGGTCCACGAATAGCCAAGGGATGAGTGGTGTCGGCGAAGAAGACAGACACACACAGAAGGTTGCCTAGAAGAGGCAGCTTTTTTTATTTTTAGGACAGCTCAGTTTTTATAGAATGAACGTTACCTCCCCCGTAAGTCACCACATATTACATCAGATATTGGTTTCGTGCTTCTGTCAATATTTTTCTTTCCCATGTTTTTCCCATATGCATTCATCTAGAACGTTTCCAATTACAGGGTTTTTTCTTAAATGTCCCGTACATTAATCTTCTTGCCTCAATGCCCTAACATTTTCATTCTAACAAAACAATGTTCTACAAATCTCAGGTATAGTGTAAATTCTTTGGACAATAAAATAATACATGGGAAGGGTCACAGTAACATGTTTGACATTTCTGAGAAAAGTACCATGAGAAAAACCTTGATATTTTTCTTTACCTGAAACCACAAAATCTCAATTTACAATGATTAACTATTAAACAGCAAAAACGCCTCTAAAGCAGCAAAACACCTCTATTAATAGTGAGATAATGGCAGTGAAGCTGGTTAATATAAATCTTCTATTGAAATCCTATGTACACCATTTCCTAACTCTACAAAAATACCCATAATCTTCCATGTTGTTTAAAGAAAGGGAAACAATGAACAAATAGCAGCATAGAAATAGCAATAATGAAAACCCTCTCAACAAAGGAGCAAGTAAACTGAAGCAGTATATCTACTTCTAAATCTAAATGCCTCTACTCTTTTCTATTCTAGAACATTATAATCTTTTAAGCAAGCAGCCAAACTATACCTGTGGCCTTTTCTTTTTTTTTTTTTTGACTTGATGTTTATGGTCATGTCCTGAACCAGAGCAATCATGAGCATTTCCGAAAAGGCTTGGACTTTTCCAGGGAGGCCTTATTATTATGTATTATATTTCCAAAAATTAATAGAAAGCTCAACAACAGTAAGACAGAAAGAAGAAAGGGACATACCGGGCCCCCGGGACAACCTCGAGAGGAAGAGCTGCCTTGCAGATTCCTTTCTCTTCCCGTGACCTTGTCCCCGGGGCAGCCCCATGTGAGGAAGAGCTGCCTTGCAGGTTCCTCTCTTGTCCCATAACCTTGTCACGGACTGGGCGCATCCTGGCGGCTCCCGACACATTTCTGTTTTTTTAAACATTTCCAGGGCTTAATCCAGAAACAATGATGACACTACCATCCCCAAAAGTATTCAAAGTAAACATTTGAGCAAGAAAACCAAAGGCAGCCTATGGAATGGGAGAAAAATATCAATCAGTATGTGCCAATCATCTGATAAGTGGTTAATATCCGACATACATAAGGAGCTCATACAATTTAATAGCAAAAACTCAAAATTTTGAAATGAATGATAAACCTGAAGAGACATTTTCCCAAAGAAGATATACAAATGCCCATCAGGTATATGAACAACTGCTCAACATCATTAATCATTAGGGAAATGAGTCAAAACCTCAGTAAGCTATCACCATACACTGGTCAGACTGGTTTTTAACAAAAAGACAAGCAATAACAGGTATCAGTCGGGATGTGGAGAAAAGGGAAATATGCGCACTGTTGGTGGGAATGTAAATTGGTGCAGCTTCTATGGAAAACAGTATGGAGTCTCCTTTAAAAAATTAAATATGGAACTACTATAAGATTCAGAAATTCCACTTCTGAGTATATATGGAAATGAAATCAGTATCTCAGAGATATCTACAACCCTATGTTAATTGCAGTATTATTTACAATAGCCAAGACATGGAAACAACCAAGACAAGGACACAACCTAATAGATGAATGGATAAAATATGGTAAATATACACAATGCAACAGTACTCAGCCATAACAAAGATTTGCAACACCATGGGTGAAACTTGAGGGCATTATACTAACTGAAATGTCAGAGAAAGACAAATACTATATGATCTCACTTATACAGAGACTCTTAAAGGAATTCATAGAAACAGAGAGGAAATTAATGATTACCAGAAGCTGGGAGCATGGTAAAATAGGTAGAGGTGTTCAAACTGTACAGACTTCTGGCTGCAAGATGAATAAGCTCTGGAGATGTAGTGTACAGTACAGTAACTATAGTTAGCAATACTGTATTGTATACTTGAAAGTTATGAAGAAAGTAGATCACACACACACAAAGGTTACTTTACCTGGTGATGGATATATTAACTAACCTTATGGTGGTAATCATTTTGCAATATGTACTTATATCAAGTCATTACATTGTAAACCTTCAACTTACACAATGTTATATGTCAGTCAAAGTTCAATAAGGCTGGGGAGAAAACAGAAACAATACCAAACTACTGGACCACCAGGGAAATCCCTCCATTCATCATTAGATGCTCAGCATTAAGCACAGTCCCTTAGCGACTAAACAACAACATCTGAGACCTGGAGAGAACCCCGTACAGGTCTGCTGAGGGCACAGAGGATCTGCCCAGTATTCGTTTGCTCAGGCTGCCATAACATAACAGCACAGACCAGGGGGCTTAACAAACAGAAATTAATTTGCTCACAGTTCTGGAGGCTGGAAGTCCAGGCTCACGGTGTCAGCAGGGCCGATTTCTCCTGAAGCCTCTCTCCTTGGCTTGCAGATGGCCACCTCCTCCCTGCTTCCTCCCTGGGCTTCTCTTCTGTGCATCCCTGGCGGCGCCTTCTGTGTGTCTGAATTTCTTGACACCCATCTCATCGGACTAGGGGCCACCACCATGGCCTCCTTTTAACTTAATCACATCTTTAAAAGCCCTCTCTTCAGATTCAGTCACATGTTGAGGTCCCGGGAGTTAGGACCTCAACACACGAATTCAGGGAAGGAACACAGTTCAGCCCCTGACAGCTGACTCCAGCTCTCCTCTCCTCCACGCCCTTTTATTCAGGACCCCTCGGCATTCCTGTGTCTCCTGCCCCTCGACCTTCAAAGGGAGAACGTTTTGGTTCCTCTTTTCCTGTGAGGCCAGCAGGTAGCTCTGAACCTAGTCTGAAATGAGGGCCTCACAGGCTCTTGCCCGAGACAGGCTGTGAGGCTTCGCCTCTCCACCTGATGGGAATATTGCTCTCAGCGGCAGGGGAGCGAGCTCCTCCCCTCGGGCGGTAGGCGCTCTCAATTGGCGCCGGACTGGAGCAGTTAAGTCTTCTAGATCCTGAATCAAAATTATAAATCAACTATTACTTCAATTAAAAAACAGCAACAAAACCGTCCAGATCCTCTGCGCGTGTTCAGAGCCGTCCCACATTCTCCACGGAGCATGTTCTGGGTGGTTCCTACCATGAGCCTGGCCTGTGACCCTGGCTGCCCGGACCCCCGGGTCAGACCCGGAGGACCGGTCCCATTCAGACTGGTCCCCGCGCAGGGTCAGGGCTCAGGCAAAGTCCAGAGGGGTGCAACGCGCGCCATCGCCACTAGAGGGCGCGGTGGCTCCTCCCTTCAGTGTTAGCTCCTTTTAGAGTTCATTTCCTGCGCGACCAAGTGTGCTTAGCACACTGCTGCCCGTAAGAAAAACTTAGGCTATTTTACCCAAGGGTTTACCGACTGGTGGGAGGCTGGCAAATGTGAACTGTAATATTTCCCCCCTTCAGTATATACTGAAAAATATTTCAAGTGTTCATTGAACACCCACAGGTGGTGCTGGGCTTG